TAATCTAGATGCTGTAATTGAGGTACAGATAAGGAAACTATACATTTCTTTACTAATATAATTTGATCGTTGCTTTCAGAGATGTTGCTTCTGTCTCTCCTCAATTTCTGCTGTGTGAATGATTTCTCGCTTATTTTCATTATCTTTGGTCTCACTCCTTGATTGATTTTGTACTTGTGCCTTCATACTCCCCCTCAAGCTAGAGTGGGGTGAAGCTACCACTCCAAGCTTGAAACGTAAAAGCTGATATTGTTGCCGAGGCAATGGCTTAGTAAGAATGTCTGCAACTTGTTCAGTACTGGGAATATATCGGGTGATAAGTGTTCCTAATGCCACTCTTTCTCGAACAAAATGATAATCTACTTCAATGTGCTTTGTTCGAGCATGAAACACAGGATTAATAGACATATGTAATGCACTTATGTTGTCCTAGAATAGTTGCGGAGATGAAGGTAGAGGAATGCCAATATCTCAAAGCAAATAAGTAATCCAAACCATTTCAGCTGTTGTAGAGGCTAAAGCATGATACTCTGCTTCTACAATAAAGCGTGCTATAGTAGGCTGCTTCTTTAAAGACCAAGAGATGCAATTTGCACCAAGAAATATGCAATACCCAGTAGTGCTTCTTCATGTAATAGGACAGCCCGCCCAATCTGCATCACAAAATCCTGTTAAGGACAAAGTACTAAAAGAAGAAAATCGGAGGCCATACTGCAGGGTCCCCTTCACGCAGCGTAAAATCCTTTTGACTTGTTGTAGGTGAGCAAGTGTAGGATTTTGCATGAATTGACATACTCTATTTACAGCATGACATATACCAATTTTGGTTATAGTTAGATATTGTAGTGCCCCTACAATCCGTCTATATTCATGAGCATCAACGAGGTCACAATCTCTTGAGGTAGTGTTTTCCTTTGTTGCTAATGGAGTAGCTATGGATGATGCCTCCAACATTGAAGCTCGAGTAAGAATGTCATGAGCATACTTAGCTTGAGATAGAAATATGCCACCAGAAAACTTATCAACCTCAATACCAAGGAAATATTGAAGATCACCAAGATCCTTAAGAGCAAATTCCCTACTAAGATGAGAAATTATGTTCTAAAGTAGATCATCGGAGCTAGTCGTGAGCACAATGTCGTCCACATAGACAAGCAGAAAAGCTGTTCCTTTTGGATTATGAAGAACAAAGAATGAAGAATCAGCTTGATTGCAATGAAAACCCATTTTTAGTAGGTATAGTGTGAATGTGTCAAACCAGGCCTTGGGAGCTTGCTTTAAACCATAGATGGAGCAATTGAGTTGACACACATAGTGAGGATATTTGGGATCTTCAAAACCTGGTGGTTGTGTCATATAAACCATTTCCTTGAGCTTGCCATGGAGGAAGGCATTCTTTACATCAAGTTGCCTTAATGGCCATTCTAGAGTTGTCGCAAAGGCAAGAACCAACCGGAGTGTTGTTGGTTTAAGAATAGGACTAAATGTTTCCTCAAAGTCCACTCCTGGCATTTGGGAAAAGCCTCTAGCTACTGGACGAGCTTTAAACCTTCCCACCGTATGATTTGGGTTAAGCTTGGTTTTGAAAACCCATCTAGACCCAACTATATTTGTCTCTGATGGTGGTGGCACTAACGTCCAGGTGTTATTTTTATGCAGAGCATCAATTTCTTCTTGCATTGCTTTGACCTAATGTGTGCTTTGAAGTGCCTTTCGAACTGTTTTAGGTTCCATAATATCAGGACCTGCAAATTGCAAAATGGACTTGTCAGTTACCATGGTATTTGCATTCTTTGGAAATATGGTTTTAACATGTCCAGTATGAGCTCCTGTACCGGCTCTTGTTTGCATAGGATGAGTAGAAATAGAAACATTGTTGTAAGAAGGTGGTGACACGCCACTCCGATTCAGAACCATTACTTCAATAATTTCCAAGTTTCCAGACTGTTCTTGGGTTCTTTGATATTGAATTTCATTTCCTTGGTCTTCAGGTACTAGTTCGCTTTGATTTTCTTCTGTAGGAGAAAGCATAGGACTATTATTATTTTCTATTGTCCTTATTGTTCCATTGTCTTGACTCTGTTGTGATGACTCATCCTCATTAACTAATGGAATTGCACTAATTCTGTCAATGGCGAGTTGAGACTGCTCCTCCTCACTTGTAAGATCTGTGAATTGTTGAGG